TAAGTCACACCCCAATTTTAGGTCTGAACCAAATTGTATCAATACATTCACATGAGTAGTAAGTCCCACTGGATTGTAAGTCGCATCCCCTTCTTTGTTTTTGAAGTATAGTGTAAAAAAAGGTGCGACTTGCATTCGGGGAAATACGGTAGTTGAGTTGCTGCGTGAACTGAACGAATGCCGGTTAGTATGGTTGCATTGAAACCTTTTTGAAATCCTGTATTCTGTTACTGATTATGGATCGGGAAAGGATGGCTATTTCTAGCCAAACGAGGGTAGGAGGGCACAATACCCCCCTTGGCGGCGTGCCTTCCTAAGAAGAAAGGCAAATCTCCAGGGACCAAAGACCACCTTCCATGGTACAAACACAATGCTCATTGGAACTAAGACCACCTTCCAGGAACAAAGACCCCCCCCCCCCCCCCCCCCCTGGAAAACAGAGAAATGTCAGTGCATCGTGGGGCCATTGTAAGGTGCATTTTACCCTTTGTATTGCATATGTGCCCCTCCCCAAATACCTGTGCATCCCAGTTACCACATGTTATACATTTCTGTTCAGTACTGCCCCCCCCCCCCCCCGGCCATCCTCTTGCTTATTTCCCCTAGCTAGAACCCTGGTCTATAGGACATGTTGGCGAGCAATGCAGCTGCGGGAAACCTTGCCACTCGCCACAGACTTAGGTTCCTGGTGTAATACAAACATTTTTCTTTACAGTTTCCAGCGATTCGCACATTGAGTATTACCCTGCCAGAGTATAGTAATCCCACACCCATATGGTCATGGGATTACTACCTGTAGTACTGTAGTGCGTGTGCAGCTTGAACCACATGGCCTGTAAATTTGACACCAAAGTATAGCAGCTTGGGTCAACATGTCTGCAGAGTGCAGACACAAACTGGTGTATGTTCTTGTTCTTGTCAGTGTCGTCATTGTCATCATCACCGTTTCTGTGTGTCTGTACACGTGTGCATTGGCCGACTTTGTAGAGCAAGTCCACGTCCTTTCCAAGGTGCATGTTAGCCGTGTGGCATGTGGTGAAGGCCATTCGGTTGCCGTGACGCACAGTGGTGACGTAAGTTGTGATGCATGATATGCACTAGGTGTGCGCGTGTGTGCTGCATATCAGTGCTAGCTACCGAGTGTCTCTGTTATTGTAGCGCAGCCTACAGGCGATAAAAGTGAAACTTTGCTCTTATGCCGCGACTTCAACTCCAATGCCAACCTGCCATTGTTGCAGTAAAAGAGAGCTAATGTTCAAAGTGTGTGTGTGTGTGTGTGGTGTGTGTGTGTGTGTGTGTGTGTGTGTGTGTGTGTGTGTGTGTGTGTGTGTGTGTGTGTGTGTGTGTGTGTGTGTGTGTGTGTGTGTGTGTGTGTGTGTGTGTGTGTGTGTGTGTGTGTGTGTGTGTGTGTGTGTGTGTGTGTGTGTGTGTGTGTGTGTGTGTGTGTGTGTGTGGTGTGTGTGTGTGTGTGTGTGTGTGTGTGTGTGTGTGTGTGTGTGTGTGTGTGTGTGTGTGTGTGTGTGTGTGTGTGTGTGTGTGTGTGTGTGTGTGTGTGTGTGTGTGTGTGTGTGTGTGTGTGTGTGTGTGTGTGTGTGTGTGTGTGTGTGTGTGTGTGTGTGTGTGTGTGTGTGTGTGTGTGTGTGTGTGTGTGTGTGTGTGTGTGTGTGTGTGTGTGTGTGTGTGTGTGTGTGTGTGTGTGTGTGTGTGTGTGTGTGTGTGTGTGTGTGTGTGTGTGTGTGTGTGTGTGTGTGTGTGTGTGTGTGTGTGTGTGTGTGTGTGTGTGTGTGTGTGTGTGTGTGTGTGTGTGTGTGTGTGTGTGTGTGTGTGTGTGTGTGTGTGTGTGTGTGTGTGTGTGTGTGTGTGTGTGTGTGTGTGTGTGTGTGTGTGTGTGTGTGTGTGTGTGTGTGTGTGTGTGTGTGTGTGTGTGTGTGTGTGTGTGTGTGTGTGTGTGTGTGTGTGTGTGTGTGTGTGTGTGTGTGTGTGTGTGTGTGTGTGTGTGTGTGTGTGTGTGTGTGTGTGTGTGTGTGTGTGTGTGTGTGTGTGTGTGTGTGTGTGTGTGTGTGTGTGTGTGTGTGTGTGTGTGTGTGTGTGTGTGTGTGTGTGTGTGTGTGTGTGTGTGTGTGTGTGTGTGTGTGTGTGTGTGTGTGTGTGTGTGTGTGTGTGTGTGTGTGTGTGTGTGGGTGTGGGTGTGGGTGTGTGTGTGTGTGTGTGTTGACCTTTGTAGTAGAGTATGATACTCCCTTTCCCGTAGGTACTTCGAGACAGCATTACCAGTCGGCCACTTTGTCAGGCTACTGTTCTTTTGCAAATGCATACATGTAGTTTAAATCTAGAAAAGATCCTATGTCCTTCCTTTTTTTGTGTTTTTTTTTGGTGATAGTTTTCTCATCACGTGTACATGTAGCAATGAAGCAACTTGTGATTATTGAATCAATAGGCTTTTGCACCATTACCAGTACTTGTCCAATCAGTACAGACATGGTAGTGATCTGATCAAGCA